TCCGCATGTCTGGGCCAGTTTTATGGTTTAATTAGTGAAAAAAATTATAATATCCCACCAACAGTCAACAACAGAGGGAGAGGGAAGCTTCAGAAGGTTTTGGAGGTTTTTTAGCGTATTTCGCGGTCGCGTCCGCCATTAACGAATCGATTCGTTATTGTTTCGGAAATCGATTCGTTAATTTTTTACCATTTACGAAATTTCGTAAATATCGAACTTTTTAAAAGGAAAATTTTGTAATTATTTTAAATATCGAAACAAAAAAACCCCCCAAATACAAATCGATTTTAGAAACAAATTTTTCCGTTGTTACCCAAGCCTAGTATCTATACTGTAGATTTAATGCAGTTTGACATCACTTTAACTGAATGACTTGATGTTATGGAATTCTTCAAGCTGTAGTTAGAGAAACACCAACACTCTTTGGCAGAGAAGGTTAAAGACCTTATAAAACTACAACCCCATGATTATATAACACTGAGCCATGGCTATTAAAGTGGTGTCAAACTACCTTAGGTTTACAGCGTAGATGTACATTCTGTTTGAACTCAACCATCAAGTAAACCCCTTCCTTTAGAGTATCCCTGTCCTCTGGGCCAAACCAATGCTCCTAGAGTTTGCACAGGAATAAGGTAAACATGCATGTTTATATGCTACTAACAGGAGAACATCCATAGGGTGGATGTTCTTGCAAGAAAATCCAACTTTAATATACTGTTGTTCTGATGCAGGGGCATTGAACAAATGGTTTTGGCCAAGATATATTGGATCCAGGAGTTTTAAGAAACCACAAGCTGAACATGAATCAACAATGTGATGTGGTGGATTAAAAAATACAATTCTGTTCTAAGCTGCCTCAATTGGAATATAGTGACTATCTTGAGGGAAGTACCACTCTACATTGCTCTGGTTGTACTGTGTCCAGTTAAGGCCATCACAATTCAAGAAAGACATTGAGAAGCTGGAATGTGTCCAGAAGGTAGTCAAAATGGTAAAAGTCCTGGAAACTGTGCCTTATGAAGAACAGCTTAGGAAACTGGGTATGTTAAGCCTGGAGAACAGAAGGATAACATGGAACTATGTCTAAATATTTGAACAGATTCTGTATTGAAGATCTAGCAAGCTTTCCCTGCTGCTCCGGAGAACAGGACATAGAGCAATTGATTCAATGGTAAAAGTTGTGGACCATGCTGCCTGGGAGTCTCCATCATTGGTGAAGTCTCCATCATTGTAGTGTTTTAAACAGGCGTGATAGCCATCTGTCCCAAGTGTTTTGGTTTGTATTCCTACGTGGCAGAATGGGGTTGGACTGGATAGCCCTTAGAGCCCATTCTAACTGTATCTTTCTATTATTCTATGGAAGCAATTTTGAAATCCATTCAAATCAAAGTATGCTGGTCAACTGATGTCCCATATGCTAAGTAATGGTCTTAACATCAGATTAATTCTTTCAATGCAAAAAAGGAGATTAAAATACAGACCTTCTACAGGCTATAGATCTGCCCCCTCCCTTTGGTATCTCACAGAAATAGCATGCAACATGGCATGATTATACTGCAATACAACCTGAATTGGTTCCTAAGAGGTTCTGAAATGGGCCTAATCAAAGCCTCCTACCCAGAATTCTAATTAACCAGCTAAATGTGATGCAAGCTAAAGAGCAGAGACATGGAGCAAATGAAGATAGTCTGCTTTGCTCCATCAACTTCTTCACGAGCTTTGCACTGTGGAATGCTAATGTGTGTAGAATGAAAATCAATAACAAAAACAATATTGTGTAATAGGCGCCACTTGAGCTGATGTTGGAGAACTTAAAGAGGTCAAATGATTAAAAAAAATCTAATACCTTGCTTGTCTGGAAAGGGAGGGGAGGAGTCACCATAGTAGTAAGGCATACTAAGTAAATAGTACAGACTAGCCCATACAAACTCGAGCTGGGCATTTAGTAGTACAGTTTGGAATCAGATGAAGTTATTTTAAGGAGTGGGTGGTTTTCAGTATCTCACTTCCTGCAATGCAAGAAATTTCAGGACCCAATTAAAATTTAATTGGGAGGGTGGACTTTTTAATTGGGGATCAGTGGTTTTATTTTGCCTCAACTCCATGGTGAATGTCTCTGATTTTTTCCTTCCTTCCTTCCTTCCTTCCTTCCTTCCTTCCTTCCTTCCTTCCTTCCTTCCTTCCTTCCTTCCTTCCTTGAACAATAGACTATTGTGGCATATAAATACTATTTTGAGTGAGAAAATCTGTCAATTTGCTTTTCCCCTCCTGTTTCATCTTTCTCTTTTCACATTTTTTTCTGTATCTTTTATAACCACACTTATGACTTTGTTTAAATTATTTTCGGTCACAGCCTGACAGGGACTCTCACTCATTGCTGCTTCCCAAATTGAGTAGACAAGAATTAATTCCAATATGTAGAGGATCACATTGTACCAATCTGCCATGTAGCTGTTAATGACAAGAAGACTTTCAGGAAAAATAAAATAAAATAGAAAATCAAACTCAGCATCAAGGCTGTACTGTTTTGTGGGGTGAGGATATGGGACTCTGGCTATGGACCCATCTGTTCCAATCTATACTGCCATATAATAAGATATCATGAGTTACGGGTTAATTTGGTTTCACCCCCAAGAGAAGAAAAGTTGGGGAATTCATCAGAGTTTGTTTGCAAGTCCAGCTTCAACACAGTACGGACAGCAAGACCTGATTAGATTCAGCAAGTCTGCTGTCCACATGAGCCACACACACACCCTTTTTCCATGCATCCATCAACACAGGGAAAAGAAGAAAATCAGGCCCATGTCACTGCCATCACAACTCCCAGATGGTTGCAAAGCACCATGGGAGCCTCTGGTGATAATGGGTGGCCCATGCTATCATCAGAAGATGCACCTATGTGACCATGAAGAAAGAGGTAGTGATCTTCTTTCTTCCTGCTTGTATTGGAGGGGGGGGGGAGGGCTCTGCTGATGCCAGCTGGAGACACTTGTGATGGCCAGTAGCTCACACGGAGCTCCAAGACCATCCAGGAACAGTGATGGCAATATGGATGGTCTAGCAGGTCCAATGTGGTTCAGCTCAGCTATACTGGTTGGATTCTGACCCACCACCACCATGGGTTCAGGGCAGTGCATGTACCTGCTTCTAGGGCTAGTCCAGAGCATGTCCACTGCAAACTGGTCCCAGGTTAATTGGCCAATGTAGATGAATTTGAATTGGCATGAGTCCTCATGTAATGCCTCAGTAATGGATGTGAGGTACTGAAGAATGGAAATTCTTAGACATTAATCTGGAATCTTTTGTATGCATAGCATGTCTTTTGGCTACAGCTCCTCCTTGAAGAATGACTATATTTTACACTCTAAATTCTAACAGCAGCTTCTGTGATTGGCAATGTCATCTATCAAACATCTCAAGTAATGGCTCTTAGGTGCAGAAGGCTTGCAAGATCATATCACTGGTCCTGTCCAGGCATATGCTTCTGCTGATAAATGAAATAGGTTTTATCTCACATATTGTTGGAAGCTCTTGGCTCTTTTCCTTGCCTCACTGATCACCGCACAAGTGAAGTGTCTTACCCATCTCCATAAACACACTGCCTGTCTTGCATTGTTGTTTAATTAAACAATGCAGATAATTTCCAGCCTTCGTTGCAATATAAATATTGTCCAAAGCTTCAGCTCCATTTAACCTTAACAAGAAAATATGAATAATGAGACAGGGCATGAAATATAGTATAGTGGTGCAAATAATCTATACAAATATTAGTCGGAGCTTATTTTCCACTTGGCTTCAAGGAATGAAGGAAGTATTACCACTGTGAGGGAGGGCAAAAATGTTTTGAAAACACAAGTTTGTGCCCTCAGGCCAAACTTTATGTGATCTTCACAGTGTATTTCTACCATGAACTAAGACTATGGAGACCAGGATTTGAATCCCCAACTGGAAACCCACAGAGTGACTCTGGACAAGTCACACATTCCCACCCAGAACATCCTGTATAGGTACACCATAAGTTGGAAATTATTTGAAGGCATGAATCATCAAAGACAACATCAACTGCTACTACTAGTATTGCTACTACTACATGCAGAGCTGCTGTTTTTTCACAAATTAGGAGTATGGAGAAGGAATTCAGATTAGCACCTTATCAAGCTTTACCCTTTGCCTTCTCACTGTAGTCTTTATCTTGGGTCCAGATTATTTGAAGAACTGTATCTCCATGAATTTATAGGAACACTATGATATTCCAGAGAGGGTCTTATCTCTGCCCCACCACCTTCTCAAGATCATTTGATGGGATCAAGGGAGAAGGCAATCTTGGTGGCTGCTCCCAGATTCTGGAATGCCCTCTGTAGAGGGTCTTCTAAAAGAAATATTTTAAAGTTGTGGACATCTACAGACTCTACAGTGGAGTCTGTAGATACAGAATGCACTCACATGTTTTCAATAGTTGTCATTGATACCCCGTTAATATGGGTAATGACATCAGCCACCTTTGACCTTTGGGAAGATCATCTATGTCTATCCCTAGATTTCACCTTTTCTCTGTGAGATCTTTTGGCCTTGTATGTTCCTGCCATAGTAAGCATATATATGCCACTTCCCTTTTTATGTCGATTGCTAAAAAATGTCATAGAATCATAGAATCAAAGAGTTGGAAGAGACCTCATGGGCCATCCAGTCCAACCCCCTGCCTGTCTGGTCAATACACAGTGGATTCTCAGAAACCATTGTTACTATGTAAAATACAAATATTCCAAACCTGAGTTTACTATGCACAGTACAATCCCACCCGACTGAGAGATACTGTAAGATACATAGTGCAAGTGTTCACAGTTTGCATCAATCATCTACAGAGGTTGCAGAATTTTGGGGCGGTTTTGGCACAAAATCTGGAGTTGTCCTGGCTTCTCTCCATTTTGAAGTGAAATGCAAGCAAACCTACCTGTGATCATTATTTATTTTACTCTTTTGCTTCCCCATCTTTTTAGAAGATGCTTACAAAACACAAGTACGGATAGACAATGAACCGGCCTATCTGGATATCCTAGACACAGCTGGACAAGTGAGTACACTCTTTGCCTTTGAAGAGAGAGTTGATGTGTAAAATTGTGTAAGGTGAATATTGGTTGCTATCCTGCTAAGAACATGAATGTGTATAAATTTCTCTTAAGTATGTATATTTCTGGGTCCTGCAGGGTTGATATGTGCCTTCTTCCACAGTATACAAGGCATCCCCATAAACCCGCTGAATGTCCATTCTCTTCCTTGTGAGAAGTGGGTCAAATCTCAGAAGTGTCTCCTTTTAGCCAAACATGAAATGATGGCATCAGAGCTTGAGACCCTTGAGAGGTCTCTGTACCATTGTAATCATTTCATGTCTTGTTATGAGCCAGGTACTTCTGTTTTCCCATCTGCTGTCTGCAAAAAGGAATGATATTTTTTTTGGACTTCAAGGGTTCTTTAGTAAGTCAGTGAGTGGTATATGCTTCAGCACAGTGTAAGTTTCCATGTGGGCCAACTATGATAAAATGGACCATTCAGAAGATTTGGAAGAGAGGCTTTACAATTGTTGAGAAAAGAGACAGAAATACAGGTAAGGCCAGGTGAAGAAAAAATAGGATAAACTGGGAGAGCCATACTATAGAGAGAGGGGTACATCTGATGAAGAAAAAAACTGGAGGAAATTTGTTTAGAGGACATATTTTCTGGGATGCAGTTGGTGAAACTATGGGGATCAGTCTTGGGAGTATGGGGCTGTTTGGCGTAGGAAGGCATGTCCTTAAAAATGCTTATCTATCCTATGAAATGCAAGAGGTGGATCATAAGGAAGGCTGAGCAAAGGAAGATAGACACTTTTGAACTGTGATGCTGGAGGAAAATTCTGAGAGTACCTTGGACTGTAAGAAGATCCAACCAGTCCATACTTAGGAAAGAAAGCCCAACTGCTCAATGGAGGGAAGGATATTAGAGGCAAAGATGAAGTACTTTGGCCACATAATGAGAAGACAGGAAAGCTTGGAGAAATAATGATGCTGGGGAAAATGGAAGGAAAAAGGAAGAGGGGCCAAACAAGAGCAAAATAGATGGATGGTATCCTTGAAGTGACTGGCTTGACTTTGAAGGAGCTGGGGATGGTGACGGCCGACAGGAAACTCTGGCGTGGGCTGGTCCATGATGTCACAGAGAGTTGGAAGCGACTGAACGAAAAAACAACAACAACATTCTATGGAATATCACTTATGTTCCCAATTATTTTTAGCATTGCTGGAAGTGAAACTTCAAAACGTATCACACAGTCCTGTTATGCTACAATTGCACTTATAAGTCCCATCATTTTCTGGAGCTTTTTTCTCTACATTGTGGTTTTCCCAATGCTGTACTATTATTGCGGAAGGAAATAGAAACTGACTGTGGACTTTATTAAATTGATCAGAGTTAAAATTATCTTTTTTTTAAAAAAAATCATAGCCTGTGAGACTGAACAGCAAATAGCTTCATCTGCCTGGTGCTGTTCCTGTGTTTTCTTGTTTATTTGTGTTCATTACCATCTTGAATTTCAGTTATCAAAGCTGTGTTAGAAAATAAATAGAATTGACATTTGTCTGAAATGAGGGGACTGAGAACCTCCATCTGGAAAAGCAATATACCCAAGAGGGTTCTATGAGTGCCACAGCTTCTTTGCCAACTATATCCATTGATTATTTAACCATTTATCTACATCTCAGACTAAACTACTGGTGTGCACTTTGCAGCCATTTTGCCAGCTGTTGCAAAGAACTTGTTTTCTGGGCTCCTGCATGGAACTGAGTTGTGTACTTCACAAGTGTATTATATGCAGCTTCATGGTGTAGAGCTATGTCATTTGTGACACTCGTTGGAACACCCCAGCAAGCAAGAGTCCAAAAGTGGCAGCACCTCAATCAATGGCTGATACCAAATGAGAGACTCCCCCAGGGCACACAGAAAACTGGGTGACTTGGAAAGTGTTGAACAGACTCTGCTCTGGCACCACGAAATGCAGAGCCAACCTTAAGAAATAGGGCTACAAAGTGGAGTCCATGATATGTGAGTGTGAAGAAGAGCAAACCACAAACCACCTATTGCAAAGCAGTCTAAGCCCCGCCACATGTACAATGGAGGACCGTCTTATAGCAACACCAGAGGCACTCCAAGTGGCCAGCTATTGGTCAAAGGGTATTTAATTGAATGCCAAGTTTTCAAACATTGTAGTTGTTTTTCTTTTTAAAAATACAATACAACTGTTTAGTTTGCTGCTAATATGATAAATAAATACATTTACGATCTACTACATAGAACTGACTTGAGTACTTTGCCAGTTATTTCACAAATTTGAGTTGTGCACATTCAAGCTATTTCATGAAACTGAGACGTGTACTTTACAAATTGTGACATGGTACTGGGCTTCATATATCACATGCTGTTTCAAAGACATTTCAAGCTTTTGAATAAGTATGAGCAGTATTATTTTCAAGGGAATAAATGTGTGCATGCCATGATATATTCCATGGAACTGAAATGCATAATTTTCAGGTTAGTGGACTACATCTGCAAGCTATTGCATCCTAAGCTCTTTGAAATCTATTGTATACACATGGGCTGTGCACTTTCAAAGTGGTTGCACAGAACTGTGCTGTGTTTTTTTCTGGCTGGGTATATCTTTTGTCTCTGCTCACTTTGTTATGGATTCCACATTTTTGATTTGCCCAACACTGAAAGGAGGCCTCTTAGAGTCTTCTCAAATTGAAATTCATCCATAAGGAGAGTACAAAATGCTCCCTTCACCCCAGCTAGTCCATCTAGTGATTCAATTATGCATAACAACAGTATTGTTGGACATATTCTGCACTGACTATATTTAGTTAAGTATACTTAACCTAGATTTACTCATCCTTAGCTGTTCCATATGCATGGCTGGTACTTAGTTGTTATTGTGACACCATTACTGTGATTGTAATTCCCTCTCCAACCTACTTTATTGGGCATCAGCTGCGTGGAGAGAAAGTCCATTTGTTTGGTGATCAGAGCTTGGGTGAATGATATTTCTATTGCTTTTGTAAGAGGGGGAACTGGGGCAGGAGAGATTTGTGTGGGCCCAAAACCCTGAATCAGGGATAAATCTTCTCTGGACATCCAGACAATGCTCAGGAGCTTCCAGCCCATAATGTGTGATAATTTCGGTTAACACATTTTACTCCGAATTAAAAGAAGTTTGGAGTACTCTGGATCTTCCCTGAAACTCCAGAGCAGCTCCATATTATGGAGTTGGTGTGGACAAATGGGCCAGTTCTATTTTGATCCAGAATTCAGACAGTCCAGTGCCATCAGGGGAAGGGGTGTGTGGTGTTTACCTTTTCCATTTTTTGGCACCATAATGGCAACCAATTTGCTGCTGGCATTGCAAGTGTTTTTGCTGATGTTCTTTCTTTTCCCCAGATTTTGTGGGCACCATTGCTAGCATCAGCAAAAGTACTCAGCAATGACAACAAGATCCCTAGTGACTTACAACAGCAAAGGCAAGGGTGACCCTTCAGCAGAGCCAATGGACAGGACTCTGATCACACTGCTGCCATGATTTGGGAGTAGAGCATGTCAATCTCTTCATGAAATTTGGAATAAACCTGATGTGAATGCAGATGGGCTCTGAAATAGCTGGTGTAGAATATTGTCCACTACCTTATCATTGGCATCTATGAATGGCATCTATGAACCATCACAGAGATTAAGATCCTTCTTTCCGTCCCACCATTGTCACAGGCATGATTGATGGGGACGAGCCAACATGAGCCAACAATGTGATGTGGCGGCAAAAAAAGCCAATGGGATTTTGGCCTGCATCAATAGGACATAGTGTCTAGATCTAGGGAAGTAATGCTACCCCTCTATTCTGCTTTGGTTAGACCACACCTGGAATATTGTGTCCAATTCTGGGCACCACAATTCAAGAGAGATATTGACAAGCTGGAATGTGTCCAGCGGAGGGCGACTAAAATGATCAAGGGTCTGGAGAACAAGCCCTATGAGGAGCGGCTTAAGGAGCTGGGCATGTTTAGCCTGAAGAAGAGAAGGCTGAGAGGAGATATGATAGCCATGTATAAATATGTGAGAGGAAGCCACAGGGAGGAGGGAGCAAGCTTTTTTTCTGCTTCCTTGGAGACTAGGACGCGGAACAATGGCTTCAAACTACAAGAGAGGAGATTCCATCTGAACATGAGGAAGAACTTCCTGACTGTGAGAGCCATTCAGCAGTGGAACTCTCTGCCCCGGAGTGTGGTGGAGGCTCCTTCTTTGGAAGCTTTTAAACAGAGGCTGGATGGCCATCTGTCAGGGGTGATTTGAATGCAATATTCCTGCTTCTTGGCAGGGGTTTGGAATGGATGGCCCATGAGGTCTCTTCCAACTCTTTGATTCTATGATTCTATGATTCTATGAGAGACAGGGCCTTCTCGGTGATTGCTCTCCGGCTATGGAACTCCCTTCCTGGTGAGATCACGTCTGCCCCTTCTCTCCTGTGCTTTAGAAGGATGGTAAAAACTTGGCTGTGGGACCAGGCTTTCAGGACAGGGCAATAAACGAGCAATAGGAAAGATTGCCCGGTCAATTAGATTTGACGTGGATGAATAGGACAGTTTTAAATTGTGTATTTTAATATTTTGATAAATGTTTTTAATGTTTATGTATGTATATAAGAATTTGTGTCCTGGCATTGAATGTTTTCCGTATATATGCTGTGCTCTGTCCTGCGTCCCCTTCGGGGTGAGAAGGGTGGAATAGAAATGTTTTAAATAAATAAATAGATAGATAAATAGATAAATAGATAAATAAATAGATAAATAGATAAATAGATAAATAGATAAATAGATAAATAGATAAATAGATAGATAAATAGATAAATAAATCTAGCATTACTGACAACACAATCATATAATGTTTAGTTCAACTTAAGGTGCATCTACACCAGTGTTTCTCAACCTGGGGGTCGGGACCCCTGAAGGGGTCATGAGGGGGTTTCAGAGGGGTCACGAAATACGATCAAAAACATAT